CCATGGTTTTGTGGGCTAGTCAGTAACGGGAGAATTGTTTCTCAAAGCTGGTGGGTAACAGGGGCGAAGGAAGGAAAAGGGATCATGCTTTTCCATTTTCAGTTCCTTGTACAGAGTGTGGGGCAGAATGTGAGATACCCATTATGAAGAGTGCCTAATTTGCAGGAAAAAAATCAAATACCCCACTCCTTTGGAAGGTGGTTTCTTTTAGAGGCACCTAGAATTATATTCTCCAAACTAATTATGCTTCCTTGCTGGTTCTTACCATTGTTACCTACATGTTGCCTTGCGCTTTTCTTTAATTCAAGTACAGAAGGAAAGCTTTCCAAGCAACTCTCAATGCTTCTATGTGCTTACATGTTGCTGGGAGAAGGGATTTCAACTCACTGCAACTGATTTTCAGTTGTCCTTTCTCCCCACTGAAGCTAGGCAACTTAATATTGCCACCAGCGCAGTGTCTAGGCCAGCAGCCAAGGCAGTGAACAGCCTGCTAATTAATTTTTCACATTTATCTCCAAACCCCCTCCCCAGAATAAACATTGTGCTAACAGGAGGTGGCAGTTTCTATGCAGCCCTCAGGAAATTTTAAGTGAAGGTGCTTTACTGCCAGTATTACGATTTTTCAGTGACAGGAATGAGGGCTTCTGGTTGTATAAAAGTAAATGTATTGGCTTCAGTGTGGAAAAAAGATTACTGGAAGTAATCTATGCCCAAGGTATTCATTTCTCTGTAAAAGCAGTGCCTACAACTCTGCCTTTAGTCGGGGGGAAATGAGGGCCTAATTTCTAGACAGGAGAAAAACATTCATGTTGAAAGCAACAGTACCACAGAGTTATTATAGATAGATTATGTTTCCAGTAAGGCTATGCATGCTCCTTCCTCAGTTAGGAGGAATATAATACTGTAAGCTTATGGAGTTTGTGCATCTTGCACCCTTTCTTGCACATATATATATATTTTTATATATAAATAAGTTAAAGATTATTTTACATCACTGTACAGAATAAACGCAACTTCCCACTCACCAAAAGGATTAAGCGTAACAGGCAGGGTAAGGGATGGAGCTGAGGGAGAGCAGCATGTTACTAAAAAGGCAGCTAATCATATATCTCTCTCTCCTGCCATGAGCACTGCAGATTTATGCCTTTATAAACTCCACAGTCCGAGTGGAGGAGAAACCTTTGTAACATGAAGCTTGTCAAAATGGGAAAGTCCTCATTCAAAAGCAAATGATCCGTTCTTCATTTTCAAAAGCTTTGGCCTCTTCTTGGCTTATCAGGTTCCCATTCAAACTATTGGAGGAGGAAAAACAGGGATATGAAAGTAAGGTACTGACTGCTTCCCATCTATTTTTCCTGTTTTGGAACAGAGATCAAAGCTTGCCAGAGCCATGTGAACTACATGCTTCCCAAGTGCACGATTTGGGAACAAGCCTCAAAGAGGCAGGCTACAGCACTGTTGTTTCCACTGCACGTACAAAGAAAGAGTCGTCTACTTTAAAAACAAAAACTGAACTAAAACCTAAACTTCATTAAACTGAAATCGTTTCCCTAACTGAGGTGGATACCCAGCTACTTGCATTTCAGCATGCAGCAAGCTCTGAGTGCATCTGAAAGCCAATGGACTTACAGGCTGACCTCTGTGCGTTCATTTTCAGAAGTCCTGGCCGTACACACTGGGGTGCAAAAAACCTTGTGCTGCCTGGAACTAAATGTTAGGTTAATGGGATCATTATGAAAAGCAGCATATAGTGGACAAAGGTTCTTAACGTGTTGTGGACTAGTGTAAAGAAATTTAAACTGTCTTCAGAGTATTTTGTGTCTTCCATGGCAACAAGGGAGAAACACTGTGTTAAGTACTCAGGCATTATTAATATGAAATGACTTAAGGCAAAGTTTTCAAGTCTGGTTAAATAAAGCTAATCTACACTGACAGTTATAGCCCTAAATACAAGCAGCCCAATAAATGCAGCCTTCAGAAGTGCTGAACACTATTAAACCATTCAGATTTATGAAGTTATTAGGGTTAATGAACACCTCTGAAAATCCAGTCAAGAAGAATCGAAAGATAGACTTGGGCTTAAACGCTCAGAATGACTTGAGTGGGGATCTATGCCTCCTGTATAGATGACAGCAGACAGTGGCCTTTGGAAAAAACATCTCTTCCTCATCTCTAGGGAGCACAGCAGTCAGAGAGTGAGTCACCATCTTTTTAAGCAAGAATTCAGTGTCCCTTCTCTAAAAGAATATATTTAAAAAAAAATTTTCAAGTTCTATAAAATGGAAGCAGCAGTGCTAAAACCAACCTAGTCCTCTCGACTCCTGTGTTCCCTGAGGTGAGGGAAGGAATGTGGTATTTGGCTTTGTGCCGCATAACGCACATGCATGACTATGTGATGCCTACCTAATCTAACACAAGCAAATCTTACAAAAAGTTAATCTTCTTGTAGCTCAGCACTTTTAGTGTGTTTGGAGCACTGCCTAAAGACAAGCCAAGCCCAAATCCTATGAACCAAATTAGTAATGTTAATTAAATATAACTATCTCCTGCTTGTTGGGATTTAGCTCCTTAGGAGCGTGAACATGTTCAGAAATTTGAAAATAAATCAGGACAAGCAAAACTTGGTCTACAAAACTAGGCCCCAATTCTGCAAACACATATGCTCTGCGAGTCACAGAGCGCTACAGAGAGATGTGAATTCACAAACTTCACTTCAACAATTCACAAAACTGCCTGACATTCATAACAGACAGGGCAGTGTGTTAATGACAGAGGCTTTTTACCTATTTGAATCCTACAGCTGAACTACAACCCCTGCCTCACATAAACGTGTTCTGATTTTTTGTATATGCTAGAAAGTAGTAATGCCACAAGCATTTTAAAGAGAAAGAAAGTTTACAAAGTGAGCCTCTGAGGAGGGAATCCTTACCAGATTTCTTTAATGGCTGTGTTCTCCTTGAGACCTTCACTGAGGTACTTCACCCCTTTGGCTGTAATCTGATTCTGGATAAGCCTAAAAAGAAAGCACTTCACGTCAAACTAACATGCTGGATCTTATTCACAGCAACCCCTTTATTGCATGCTCAGTACCTGCATGACCTAAACTCAGCTTGCCATTAAGGAAAACAAGCGGCCTGTTTGCCATGGGAAGATGATTCTGATTTCTGTCCATGAGGATGGTACACAATATTGGTCAAATGCCCCACAGATGCACTTTCACAAACAGAGCCTGGAGTAGCAGCGTCTTCCTCTCAAGCTTCCATGTGGTTACATTCGGCAGATACTGGTCTTGACTATATAGCGGACAAATTTCTGCTTACTGAGAAGAGCAG